GGAAGCTGAGGGGCGGGTCCTTCAGGGTAAGCCACCAAGCCCAGCTTCCCAGGCGGTGGTCCGGGGGGTCAGGGTCCTTGCTTTTAACACCGCATGGCCTGTCATGCCACGGGCAGGCCTGAGGTTGCACCGTGGAACAAAGGCAAAAGTAAAATGGGAGCAAAAGAGAAAGACGGGGAGTAAGAGAGGGGAGGAGGCAGGGGTAGAGTGCCGCAGAAGGAGGGGCCCCGAATAGTGACAGTGACTTGGCTACAGGTGGCTCTCTCCTGAGCTGTAGTTAATTACTCCTTGTCACACCTCCAATCTCGGTTTAAGTAAACCCACCCATGAAAACTTCCTGCGGGTGTGTTGTTTTGCCATTTTGTGGTTGCAGTGGCTTCTGGAGGAGGATATACGTTCAAGTGCTCTGAGCCAGGAGGTGAGCGATTTGGTGGAGATGGTTTGGGCAGAGGCCCTCGGCCACCTGGAGCACACGCTCCTCACGCCTGCGAACAGGATCAGCCTTAACGACGTAAGTCCCGTGCGTCCTCGAAACCTGCTTTCCTGGTTTCTCAGCGTCAGCGATACCACTTCTGTTTGAGAGCTGGTTCGTTGTTCTCAGATGCAGTCCTTCCTGTTCTTTCTTGTCACCCTGGAGAGGGGGACACCGAGAACACTGAGGGGACGTGAGCTTCCAGGAGGAGCAGATGATCCCACCTGTGAAATACTGGACACAAGGGCCGATCACAGCTTGGCTTTTCGGTGCCAGCCGGTGAGGAGCTGCTCCTCCGGCAGGAGCTTTGCCGCCGGCCTGGGGGACGTGCCGCTCTGCGTCCTCCGTTAGACACTGGGCCCTCAGCCACTCCACAGTGACTGCGCCTCTGACCGTCCTAGGGGAAGCTGGGCAGGCTTCCAGCCCCCCAGAAACTGCTCTGCTCAGTCACACGCAACTGAAAAGACAAGCGAAAGAAAATGCTCCCGATGGCCCAGCTTCTGCCGCTGTATTGTCATAGTCAGATAATACAATACACACTTTTCCCGCTGTGGAATTAAATGAATTTATTTCAGGGCTAAAAATGGTTCCTGGGGTAAAGTCCAAAAAGCACCCGTGTAATTCAAAGCAGGTCCTGGCGGGTTTTGTTCCTAGTTTGACTCGACATCTTTCTAAGTCTTATGTGAAAAACAGGGCTCCCGCGGTGACACGAGCCTTCCTCTCTGGACGTAAAGGCAGGTGCAGAGACAGATATTGAAGACTGGTTCTTTCCTGTGGTTAAGACGAGCCCGCTTTTGGATGACTCAGTGGCATCGTCGTCATCTCCATAAACACCACGTTTGTTTCATGGCAGAGAGCCAGTAGGAAATTGATAGTCATGATGTAGCCAACGGCTGTTTTAGATGTTTGTATATGTGTTCTTTTACTTTTTCTATGATTATCAAGATCTCATTGTAATAAGTGCGTATCATCTACTTACAGGTGAGCAAGGCAGAGGGAATTCTACTCCATGTAAAGGCAGCACTGAAAAGTGGAGAAACGGAAGAACAATTACAAAAGATGATGAGTGAGTTCTACAGACTAATACCTCACAGAGGTTCAACCACTGAAGAAGTTAACCTGAGGCTGTTAGCCAAGAAAGAGGACCTCTGCCAGGTAAATCTCTGAGCTACAGAATTCAGTTAACATATGTTGGGGGAGGGGTCTTTTCAGACCTGATGAGTAAGGAAGGTCACACTGAATGAATCACAAAAGTTGTCTAGAGTTGGCTCAAAAATAAATTGTCGAGCCATTTTAGAATGCTTCAGGTCCTCTTGGAAGCTACCCGAACTGTATTCCCGAACATGAATGTGCTGGAATAGTGGTACAAAGGCAGATTCATTTAGAATTGCTGCACTGTAATGTCCCAGATCAGATGAGTTAAGATTTTCCGCAGAAGAAACGGAAAGCTGCCACGGACTTAAACAGCGAGGACACTTACCGCCCGTGTAACAAAAAGCCCAGGTGCGGGGGCGCTGCTGGTCCAGGTCGCTCGGATGTTTCAGCCTCTGCCCATCTCTGACCTTCCTATAAAGTGACCTTCCTGTCAGCCTGACTCCCCTTACCACCAGCTTACAGCTACAGTAGTTCATAGCATCCCATGTATTTTTTGGTATCTCTTAGATGAAGCCCCTGGTACTCTTGTTTCTCTGGTCAGAATTGAGTCACTGTGGAATTTTACTCAGCCATGAAAAATGAAATCTTAACATTTGCAATGACGTGTATGGACCTAGAAGATATTATGTTGAGTGAGATAAGTCAGACAAAGACAGACAGATACCATATGATTTCTCTTATGTGTGGAATCTAAGGAACAACAGAAACGAACAAGCTAAATGAAAACAAACATGGGTATGGAGAACAAACTGGTGATTGCCAGAGGGCAGGGGGCTGGGTGAAAAAGGGGAAGGAAGAGACAGGTACACATTGCACAAAGGGCTTGGGACAGATTTAGAGACGCATGACCTAGACATCAGAGGAGTTTGTCGACGTGAAATTTTGCATGTTTGGGGGAAATTATAGCTTTCAGTGGGTTCTCAGAGGCGTCTGTAGTCCAAACTAAGTGAAGAATCAACAAAAGAGGTGAACCAGTAACCAAGATGCTAATGGGCCCTCCCAAATCTGAAGTTCCCTGATTCACCTAATACCCAGCCTGTGGAACCTCAGTCTTTGGTCTTGCTACTGAGAGGGTACGTATGCTGCCTGGCCAAGTGCTTGTTAATTTAAATTGTGTGTTTTCAATAGGTAATACATCTGCATGATTTAGAAGTCAAATTCATACTAAAAAGGTACACTCAAACAATTTCCACCCTGTCCCCACCACCTCGTTCCAACTCTCTAACTCCCCACCTGATAACTTGCCACTCTTAAATATTTATTCCTCCCCTCTATTTTTACATAAAAAGCCGTGTACTCTCGTCACCTTTCTGCATCTGCCTTCCTCGTTTAGTATATCCTGCACGTGGAGGTCACCCTCGTTGCAGCGTTCAAATGTGGGGTCTGCCACATTGCTGGGCATCCCCTATCACCGACATTTTGATTTGCCGTCACAAGCAGTGCCACAATGAACAACCTTGCGTGTTTGTCATTTCCTGCGTGTCCAGGAGTGTCTCTGGGATACGGCGCCAGCAGTAGGAGTGCCAGCTTAAAGGATGGATGTGTCTAATTGTGACACACTTCGTCTGATTCCCTCGCAGGGTTACACCATCCTGCCCTCCCACCACCACTGAACGAGCTTCTGTTTCCCGTATCCTACGAGCAGTGTGTTTGCCCAGCGTGTAGATTTTACCGATCTGTGGATGACAAGTGGCCTCGCAGTGAGGCAGGCCTGAGCACCTTCCAAATGGTGAAGGGACGCCTCATTTCTTTTCCTGTGATGTGTCTCCTCATGCCCTCTGCCTCTTTTTCTTTGGATCTTGATCATTTTCTTCATGGTGTTTAGAATTTCTTTGTAAGTTAGAGATCTTAGTCTGTGACATGAGTTACAAATATTTTCTGTGTTTTTGGTTATTCTACTTTGCTTATGGTGAATTTGGTGGTGATGAACTTGTTTCATTTCACCATACAGAAATTTTTTACTTGTACATAGAGAAATGCATCGACCTTATATTTTATAGCTGGCGGATTCAGTGTAGTCAGAAAGCCCTGCCCCACAAGGTCATAAAGACGTGGGCAGCAGAGTGCCTGGTGCTCCCCATCAGTGTCCCTTCATTCTCAAAGCTGTGAAAACAGCACAGCTCTGTATCACGCGTAGCTCAGGTCATCTGGGAGCTACGGTCCCTCCTCCAGTCCCACGACCCAGGAGTAGCTATGCGCCCAGGGAAGGGACCGGTATCCCACTCCGTTCTGCGTCTTCCAAAGCTAAGGCAGTGCCTGGCGTACGAAACACGAAAATTGAGTTTTTGTTAAGCAGAATGGAACGTGAAGTTCAGTTGAGTTCCTGCTTTATCACTGTCCACTGTCCCCTCCTCGCTGCAGGATCTGGAGCAATTAATTTAGTTTCGCAGAGCCTCATTTGTCCCATGCACACAATGAGGACAGTAAGATCCAAGCGGACTGGTGCTGTGGTGTGGATTAAAGGGACAGTGTGCCCAGAACACTGTTAACATGGTGCGCTGCCCTAACGTACACTGCCATTGTTGTGTGTTTGCTGTCACTGAGGTAGCTGTGTCACCTTTAATGTGCCACTTACGTGATAAAAGAACTTACGTGAAAAAGTGTAACATGATATAACTTTTGGTTTGTGGTGATTCTAATGTCTGTATTGTTTCCATCTACAGCTAATAAGAGACATGGCTAACGTCAACGAAACTAATTTGTCCAAACGCAACCCACCGTCTCTTGCCAAATACCGAGCTTTGAGATGCAAAATTGAGCATGTTGAACAGAACACAGAAGAATTTTTCAGAGTTAGAAAAGAGGTTTTACAGAATAATCGCAGGTAAGCATAAGGAGACGCATTAGGATCTCTTCTGTAATACTGTGTCCGAACCTGATGCAGAGCCGATGGCCGCAGGTACCTGGATGCCTGTCCTCACTGACAAGTCACCTACATTGGCCAGTCGCTTCTTCCTGTGTTTGTAACAGGGCACGGGGCAGCAGTCTGTGCTTGAACACGCTGCTACCGTCTCTCCCACTGGGACATAAGGGTGCCAGATCTTGATGAGAATTACGTTTACAAAGGGTATTAAAGCTTGTGTTTGGAAGGGTGTTGCATAGGAAAATGCACTTAAGATTTTAAGATGCAGAAATATGTGTGTGGCAGCTTTTAAACTAGCCACTCTGTGGCATAAAAACCTGGAAAATCTGTCAAGCTGTGGACCCCCCAATGCCAGCCCCATTCGTTTCCTGTTGCCTGGGCCCCTTCCCGTTTCCTCTGCGGTCTGCATTCCGCACCTGGCACAGCAGCAGCACCAGCCACCTGGGCGGTCACTGCTTGGACAGGCCCTCGCTGTGCCCGTGCCTCAGAATCGTTGGGGCTAAGGGCCTGGACCCAGCGTCAGGACGCAGGATCCAGCTGTGTTGGTTGTTCTCAGGCCAGGCCGACTTTCATTGGCTTGGTCACTCGTCCTGCGGCAGCACTGCCCTCACGGAGTCTCTCTCCTGGGCATGGCCGGCATCTCAGCTCAGGTAACGTCCAGGTGGCCCTGCATCGGCCTTGCACGCTCCGTGCACCAGTGGTGCTGAATGGCAGCTGCTCCGACCACTTTGCAGGCCAGTTGTTAAATTCTTAGGATTGTTAACTAATTAAACCATTAGTAACAGGAAGTCTGCTATGGAGGGAGAATTTCCACTGAGGAAATCAGCAGATGCTGCAGTCGGGGTCACGTGTGGGCCCTTTTGCTGTGTGGAGTCCGTTTGCCAGCGCCCTGCTAGAACTGGGCGCAGCCACACCGCCCTGCGGACCGATGCGCGCCTGTCTCTGAGCGCATGCTGCCTTCCTGGGCAGTCACCCTCCAGTGCCATTCCCTGTACCACCTCACACCCACTAAGATGGTTATGTTTTTAAAAAGTGGGAAATTGTCAGTGTCAATGAGGATGCGGAGATGCTGGAACCCTCCACACAGTTGTGGAGATGTAAATGGTGCAGCCACTACTTGATGAGGCCACATTAAACACAATCATCAGATGCCCCAGCAGTTCCACTCCTAGTGACGTACGCCAAAGATCTGGAAACGGGGCTCAACCGCATACTTGTCCATGAATGTTCGCAGCAGCACAGGTCACACAGCCGGAAGGTCGAAGCCACCCAGACTTCCATCAGTGGGTGAATGGATTAACAAAACATGGCGACTATGCATACGCTGGAATATTGTTGGCCATGAAAAGCAGTGAAATACAACACAGGCTGCAACAGCGGGCGAACCTCAAAGACGTGATCCTACGTGAAAGAAGCCAGACGTGGAAGACCACACGTGCTGGAGCTAAACAGAGTGGTGGTTCACAGCATTTTGAATGTGCCGAATACCCCTGAGCTGTACACGTCAGTATAGTTTTATCCTATGTGAATTTTACCCCAGTTTTTAAAAATCCATTCTGTAGATCTATCCAGATGATGCTTTTATACTTGCTGAGATGATTTTAGTTTCTTTTGATTTGACCTTCGACCATCCCCTCAGTCCCTGCTAGGATCTGATACTAGGGAAGAGGCTGGAGACAGTGACGGTGGCACCAGGAGGGAAGTGATTAGCCCCCTCCATGAGTCACAGGGAAGGAAGAGCTATGTCCCTAAGACCTGGGTAGGCGTGTAGCTCGACCAGTCAATGTGACCCCCGCGAGCCCTTGCGGAGCTTGCACTCCACCAAGTGTCAGACAGCGAACGTGGGCCTCCTCCCATGGAGAGTTTGTTGCCGGGAAAAATTAGATTTTATTCATTTCGTTTCACTGATGATGACATTTTCATACTAATTTTTTTCTCCTAAAATTTATATTCTTTGCTGAAAGTTTAGAAACTATATAAAAACATGGAGAGAATTAAAGCTCACCCAGAATTTCAGCACAAGGGATAACGCAGAGATCACATAACTCACTCCTAACCCTTTGGTGTAGAGCGTATCTCGAGTTGGTGATTCTTCTCCACACCCAATGGTGTGCCAGTCAGCCAGCTCTTAGGAGTCAGAGTCCTGGTTTGTGACAGCTGCTGATTTCTGTGGCGCGAGCCCCACCCCCATCCCCTACCACAGCTCAGGTCGAGCTGCCAGCCTGACGCCCTGAGTGAGGATCTGGGTGGGCACGCTCAGTGGCCTCATGTAACCCTCACCTGTTCCCGTGCTTCCCTGTCTTAGCCCGCTCATCCCCATGTCGCCACACACTGCCACATCTATCTCCAGAATGTCTTCTGCTCACTGGCTTCCAGTTATACTGCCACTGTCTTCATTGCAGACCACGTTGTCTCGTCTGCACCACTACAGCTGCTTCCTCCCTGATGCTTTTCCACCTCTGCCCCATCCAGCGTATTTCCCGTAACAACCGTTAGACCTTAAACTGTGGGCTGTACAATGCCACGTTCCAGCGTCACCTCCACAGAGAGGCCTTTCTTGACCACCTCTCCCTCAGTCTGGTAGTTTTCCTTGGCAGCATTTAAAATTAGGCATTTGTTAACTCCTTGATTTTGGTCTCTCTCAGTAGAACGAAAGCTCCGTGAAGCTGGAGCCCGTGTCATTTTACTCCCAGTGCCTGGCGGAACACTCCACACAGAGTCTACTCTCTGAATGAATACATGGATGAATGAGTGAGCTCATTCAGTCTGTATAGTGTACACAATATATATTTGACAAAACTTGGGATCGTGTTATGCAAGCAGTTTTTGCGACCTTTTAGAATTTATATTTTACCATAAGTTTTACTTCCTATCCTTATTTATTTATCAAGTGTGATTTTTAATGGCCACGTAGTGTTTCCAAGATGAATTGTGCCATGATTTCTTGTATCAGCTCCCTAATAATGGGCATTTGGGCAGTTCTGTGTTTGTTCATAATGATTTTTCATTTTGCTTTCAATTATGTCATCTCCAAGTTTTTCTTCTAATTCTTACAGTCAAAGTCCAGTGGACATCCTGCAGATATTCAGAGTTGGCCGAGCAAGCGAGACCACAGCGTTCCTGAGCCAGCTTGGCAACGTGACATCCTTGCTGCACGGGTCTCCCGTGCGAAGCTTTGTAGGAATCCTGTCTCGGTAAGAGAAGCCACCTTGACTCGCCAGACCATTCAGCCTCACAAATGCGAGGTGTCATATCTCTTTTCTGTACCGCATGGGTCTCTTTAGTTAAAATCAGCCAGCTAATTGTATTCCAGAGAAAACTGAACATTTTAAATTATAAGTACACGTTTTAAATTATGTACTTATTTTTATATATAGTTTAAGTGTGGTGCACAGATATAAATGGCTTCTTGAAGACAGTATCATATAAAGAAAGGTGATTGTCTGTTTTACTTATGAGTCTTTCCTCTGTATCTACTCTAGCAATAGTCTAGAATTTAAAAAGAAAGATCTAGAAATTAGAATGCCCAGATACTGTGAGTTATCTGTTCAGAACATAATTGTAGTTTTCTGTTTGGATAAACAATTAATATTAGAGCCGAAACTGAAGTCACGAGTAGCAAGGGGAAATAGGGTTAAATCTGTGTCTTTAATTAAATACCTAATAAGAAACTTGAAAAGAAATATATTAGATCCATCTGGAAAAAACTTAAGAGCTGTTGGGGGACTCAAAAGACACTTGCACTACTCAGAAGGATGCCAGGTTTCCCTGAATTAACCTGTAAATTTAGTGGTATCACAGTAAAAGTACCACTGAGATTTTTTTAAAGATATAAAAAGCTGATTCTGCAGCACATAGTTTTTTTAATTTGACATTACCAAGACCATTCTAAAAAAGAGGCGTAATAAGGGAAGATTAACCAGTGAGACATTAAAAATATACTGTAAAGCTATATTAAAACAGTGAGGTGGTATATAAATAGAGAATGAATAGAATAGAAAGTACACAAATGCAAAAGTAGAGGATTTAGTATGTATAACAATAGCTTTTATCTCTGTGGAAGAAAGATTATTTTTCAGTACTACATATTGGATAAATATCTGGAAAAATATAAAATTGGACCCCTGCCTTGCTTCTCACACTTAAATAAACTCTTCATGGAGCAGAGATTTAAATATTAAAAATAAAACTTGTAAAGATACTAAATGAAAAATAGATTAAAAACAATAATCTTAGAGTGGGAATGGCCTAATAGAACTAAAAGTCAAAAGCCATTTTACAAAATTAATTCCACCTCGTAACATAAACTCAGCTAGCAGTTTGTACCATAAAGCCGCTGTCTCCTTGACCTGCCCAAAGAGAGCTGGGGTTGAACATTGGCTGCAGAGCTCTCTGAATGCTCTAGTTCGTTCTTGATCAGGGGAGAAGGGCAGTCAGTGTCAAGCTTAAACATTGTCCTGCTGAGCGAGGGGCCCGGGCCGGAAGGAGACAGAGCCCTGGGGGCCGGACAAATGGCTGGCCCGCAGCCCAGGACTGGTCAGGGGGTGACAAGAAGCAAGCCGCAGCCTGGGTCATTCTCCTGACACCTGGAATTCCTTCTGTGGGGTTACTTTGAAACGCATTTTCCTTTTCATTTTGTGCTATCTATCTACCTACCTACCTACCTACTTTGTCTGTTTATCTATCTATCTATCTATCTATCTATCTATCTATCTATCTATCTATCTATCTATCTATCTATTGTCTTTTAATTAGTGTGTTTATTTTCTCCAACTTTATTGTGGTATTATCGACCAATAAAAGCTACATAGATTTAGGCCGTACAATGTGATTTTTAAAGATATGCAGGGTGATCACCATAATAGGTTAATTAGCACGTCTGTCATCTCACCTAGTCCCTTTTTTTGCCTTGTGGTGAGAACACAAGATCTACTCTCTTAGCCAATTTCAAGTACACAGTACAGTATTATTAGCTATTATCCCATGCGGTACATTAGATCTCCACAATTCATTCATCTTAGAACTGAAAGCGTGTACCCTTTGCCCAGCTTCTCCCTATTTTCCCACCCCCCACCCCTGGAAACCACTGCTCCACTCTCCTCTCTGGTTCCATGAACTCGACTTGTCAAGATTCCACTTACAGGTAGGCCTCACAAATGCGAGGTGTCATATCTCTTTTCTGTACCGCATGGGTCTCTTTAGTTAAAATCAGCCAGCTAATTGTATTCCAGAGAAAACTGAACATTTTAAATTATAAGTACACGTTTTAAATTATGTACTTATTTTTATATATAGTTTAAGTGTGGTGCACAGATATAAATGGCTTCTTGAAGACAGTATCATATAAAGAAAGGTGATTGTCTGTTTTACTTATGAGTCTTTCCTCTGTATCTACTCTAGCAATAGTCTAGAATTTAAAAAGAAAGATCTAGAAATTAGAATGCCCAGATACTGTGAGTTATCTGTTCAGAACATAATTGTAGTTTTCTGTTTGGATAAACAATTAATATTAGAGCCGAAACTGAAGTCACGAGTAGCAAGGGGAAATAGGGTTAAATCTGTGTCTTTAATTAAATACCTAATAAGAAACTTGAAAAGAAATATATTAGATCCATCTGGAAAAAACTTAAGAGCTGTTGGGGGACTCAAAAGACACTTGCACTACTCAGAAGGATGCCAGGTTTCCCTGAATTAACCTGTAAATTTAGTGGTATCACAGTAAAAGTACCACTGAGATTTTTTTAAAGATATAAAAAGCTGATTCTGCAGCACATAGTTTTTTTAATTTGACATTACCAAGACCATTCTAAAAAAGAGGCGTAATAAGGGAAGATTAACCAGTGAGACATTAAAAATATACTGTAAAGCTATATTAAAACAGTGAGGTGGTATATAAATAGAGAATGAATAGAATAGAAAGTACACAAATGCAAAAGTAGAGGATTTAGTATGTATAACAATAGCTTTTATCTCTGTGGAAGAAAGATTATTTTTCAGTACTACATATTGGATAAATATCTGGAAAAATATAAAATTGGACCCCTGCCTTGCTTCTCACACTTAAATAAACTCTTCATGGAGCAGAGATTTAAATATTAAAAATAAAACTTGTAAAGATACTAAATGAAAAATAGATTAAAAACAATAATCTTAGAGTGGGAATGGCCTAATAGAACTAAAAGTCAAAAGCCATTTTACAAAATTAATTCCACCTCGTAACATAAACTCAGCTAGCAGTTTGTACCATAAAGCCGCTGTCTCCTTGACCTGCCCAAAGAGAGCTGGGGTTGAACATTGGCTGCAGAGCTCTCTGAATGCTCTAGTTCGTTCTTGATCAGGGGAGAAGGGCAGTCAGTGTCAAGCTTAAACATTGTCCTGCTGAGCGAGGGGCCCGGGCCGGAAGGAGACAGAGCCCTGGGGGCCGGACAAATGGCTGGCCCGCAGCCCAGGACTGGTCAGGGGGTGACAAGAAGCAAGCCGCAGCCTGGCTCATTCTCCTGACACCTGGAATTCCTTCTGTGGGGTTACTTTGAAACGCATTTTCCTTTTCATTTTGTGCTATCTATCTACCTACCTACCTACCTACTTTGTCTGTTTATCTATCTATCTATCTATCTATCTATCTATCTATCTATCTATCTATCTATCTATCTATCTATTGTCTTTTAATTAGTGTGTTTATTTTCTCCAACTTTATTGTGGTATTATCGACCAATAAAAGCTACATAGATTTAGGCCGTACAATGTGATTTTTAAAGATATGCAGGGTGATCACCATAATAGGTTAATTAGCACGTCTGTCATCTCACCTAGTCCCTTTTTTTGCCTTGTGGTGAGAACACAAGATCTACTCTCTTAGCCAATTTCAAGTACACAGTACAGTATTATTAGCTATTATCCCATGCGGTACATTAGATCTCCACAATTCATTCATCTTAGAACTGAAAGCGTGTACCCTTTGCCCAGCTTCTCCCTATTTTCCCACCCCCCACCCCTGGAAACCACTGCTCCACTCTCCTCTCTGGTTCCATGAACTCGACTTGTCAAGATTCCACTTACAGGTAGGGTATTTGTCTTTCTGTGTCTGGCTTACTTCACTTAGCATAACACCCTTAAGTAGCATCTGTCTCTACTAGGTTCGTAAGGCTGTCATAGAACATCCTCTTTCATCGTAAACCTCATAACTCGTTTCTTTTCAGCGGGTTGCTTCTGCCCAAAGTGGTCGAAGATCGCGGCGTGACAAGAACAGACGTTGGAAACCTGGGGAGCGGGATCTACTTCAGTGATTCACTCAGGTTAGTGTGTCATATCCCAAGCCACGTCGCTCACGCCCACTGCAGGCAGTCGTCACCGAGTACTGGCTCTGTTTTCCTCCATCTTTTCTTGCTGAGGTGTCTCTCACCCCAGAAACAAGTACTGTAAGCAGCTGATTTCTCCACAGGCTGTAGAAGCGTGAGTTTCGCGGTGGATGTTTGGAAAGTGGTGTTTGAAATCCACTTGGTGATTTTACTGTCCTGAGACCTTTTACGTATCCACACCCACTTAATCCTTACCACGCTCCTGCGGCCAATCCTGCTGGTACCCTCATGTCACAGAGAAGAACACTGAGGGACGGCCGAGAATGTCTTGTCCAAGGTCACACAGCATTTGTCTTTCTCCAGAGCCAGTAATCTTGACTTCTCCAGCACATGGCCTCTCTTCTCAGCAGTTTATCTCGTGTACATAACATTTCATCTTCAATCTCCTTGTTAATATTTAAATCTGTCCTCGTGATAGCCGCAGTGAATTGCACACCTGCCCTGTGCCGAGCACCAGGCTAAGTGCTTCATTGTCTGTACATTGTCCATAAACCTCACACTTGGTGTTATCACATCATTTTTATGGAAGGGATACAGACTCATGGAGGTTAAATAACTTACCTAAGGCTCCAGAGCTAGTTACTATAAATCAGTAAGAAAAAGATAAACAACTCAATAAGTAAATGGGCAAAAAACATGAATAGGAACTTAATAGAAGTGGAAACATGTATGGAAAATAACACTTGAAAAGATAAGTAATCAAGAACATGTAAAGTAAACCATAATGATACTATTTTACATCTGTCATATTGATTAAAAAAAAATACTTTAGCATCTCTAGATGTTGGTGAGTCTCTGAAACAATCTAAACTCTCAGATACTTCCAGAAAGAGACAAACCCTCTTGAAAAAGCTTTGGCATTATCTGGTCTAACTGAGGAACAGAGGTGAGTCCTGTAGGCTGGCCTCCAGTCCAGGAAGCAGTGCTCCTCAGCCTAGCTCACAATGGGATCATTGACTGCCGTTGACACCCCAACTGGAGCATGGGCAAACACTGGGGTGCTGATTGCACCCCGGAGCAGTTAAGTCAGTATCTCTAGGGGTGAGGCTTGGGCATCAATAGTTTTTAAGCTTCCTGGGTGATTATAATATGCAGCCGGGTCAAGAAGCACCACCCTAGGAAAACACTAGTGTTCATAGAGCAGGAGGCACTGCCAAGAATGGCTGAGGTCACCAGTGGCAGGCGCATGCTGGAAAACGATGCACACGTCCGCTGACAGTGAGATGAACCGGTGCAGTTGCTGTGGTCCCACATGGAGTCCTGAATGGCACCTTTAACATGTTATTGCAGCTACACGTGTCAAGTGGTGGAGCCTCAGCAGGGAGCCAGAATGGCTCTATGATTCTGTATATGTGCCAAGTTCAAAAACAAGCAAAACTAAACTTTATATTGTGAGGGACACATACCTACGTGTCAGTGCTATTTAAAAGAAAGGAAACTACACACAAAAATTGAGAGCGATTACGTCACATCTGGATGGCAAGGAAGGTGACACCACTGGGCATCAGAAAGACTAATGATGTTCTTCTTAAACCAGGTGGTGGCCCTATGTTAGTAGAATTTAACATTTATACTACAACTTCTCTTTCCTATGTACAAAATATTTCAAAGTAAAAACTTTTAGATATTTAAATATTTTTTAAAAAGTTAATTAGCATCCAGTTGAATCTAGCAAAATTGAGGTCCTTTGTGACTTTTGACAGTGGTTTCAGTATAGAAGTATGAATAGAGCCGAACCGCAGTGGACTGAGGGGCGGTCAGCAAAGAAGCCAGTAGGGACAGTCGCTGACTCCATGAGGGTGGAGAGAAGGGAAGAGACAGAGGGAGCCGAGGTGGGGGCTGGAGGCATAGTCAGGGTCTGGGCTCCATGGAGGAGTTAGGCATTTTTTAGTTGCAGGAGAAGAACCCACGCAAAGGAGAGGTTTATAGGAGGAAGGGGAGAAATTGACTTTTTTTTAAGTGCGGGGGGATAGAACAAAGGGTCATCAGGCAATGCTTTTATATTTTGGTCTTGATCTTTGAAGAAATAGAGGTATGTCCCCAAAATGTTGCTCCTGAAGGCAACCCAGCCTATGTTCCTAATAAATAGCCCGATGCTTTATTAAAGTTGCTGGATCCTGAAGAAGGTTGAAGCACAGTCTCTCCTGTGGGTGTCTTGAAATTTTCACTTTTCAGTTGCATTCAGAAGGGCCCTGAGAACTCAGCGCCCGTCTTCCCCTTGACCAGCTCTTACTCGCTGGTACTTAATGTTCTTTCTGAGCTAACATGCGGAGAACCAATTTGCTTTTTCTTAATTAATAAGGTGAGTTTCTGTCCTCTTTTACCACTGTGGTGTTTCCTACACCAAAATGCACATATCTCAGTAGCTAATAAAGGTTTGGGGGACAATGGGAGTCTTGTCTCTATGAGAACGAAGCCCTTTGGGCTGCCTAGCACAATAGAAGAGCAATCTATGTGGTCGTTACATCAAAATCTTAAATGACTGAATAGTAAGCTCTAAGTTGAATCGTAAGAGATTCTTCAATAGTTAAATCTGGAACATTCTACCAGCAATCTTTTAAACAGTGTCGCCTATGTACGGAATAAAATGTCATGACCACGTAGCTGTAAATTATAAATACATTCTTCCTTCTTCGCATCTGCAGTACGAGTACTAAGTACTCACACCCCGGAGACACAGATGGCACTAGACTCCTGGTCGTCTGTGATGTGGCCCTCGGGAAGTGCTTGGACTTGCACAAGAAGGACTTCTCCTTGACGGAGGCACCGCCCGGCTATGACAGTGTCCATGGGGTTCCAGGAACAGCCACTGTCACCACGGACTTCGAGGTATTTGTATCAAGAAACGGGCAGAGAGGCTCCTGTGAAGAAGTTTAAATAATTATTGTCTACTGCCTGAATTCAATATTTTCTAAATTAGCAAACATGAAAATTTGCTTTTATGAAAATGTGCCAATAAAGGTTTTTTCCATCTATTTCTGTTTGCTCTAGGATGATGAATTTGTTGTATATAAAACCAATCAGATTAAAATGAAATATATTATTAAATTTTGTTTACCTGGAGATGAAATAAAGGACTTTCATCCCTGTAATAATATCGAATTAGAGGAATACACGCCCGAGATTTCAAATTTTCCAACAGTTGAAGGTTAGACAATTTTCTTGAATGTTGTTTTACATGCTATTACTAGAACTCAACATTATATTTTCAATAGAATTTATTTATGTTTGGTAACCATATTTAGGACCTCATAGGTAAATATTTTATTTCCTTTTTATTTTGTAAAATTGAAAACCAGGATGCTGGGGAGAGTTTAAGTGGTCTCAAGATCATGTTACTTCACTTACACTCCAGATTCAAGCTTGTCCAACCCCGGGATCGCCACTAAAATCTGCTAAGCCAATTTCAGACGTCAGTGTGCAAACAGGGTAATGGGGCTGGTAGAATAGACAGACAGCACAGCATTAGGATCAGGAAGCTTGGGTTCAAGTGCCAGCTTGCCACTTACTAGACTATGTGATCTGTGACAGACCACATCCCAGTGTTGCTGTGAGGATTAAATGGGATAAGTGAAGGTACCCCCAAAACTGCGGTGTACAGGTTATGTATTAGTAATACAGATAAATGAGGGGACGATGGCTTTCAGAAAACCATAAGCCCAAACTACAATAATATTAATAGTTTTGTAAAAACATTAATGTTTTTAACTGCAATCAAAGTATTTTTTATCAGAAATGTATGACTTCATGTATGTTCAAGAAGACTACTCCAATTTTTTCTCTGGGATTCATTAAATGTCATGTTTGGGAAGAGAGTATCTTTGTATGTAACCATATCTGTACTTTTGTGCTGCTTATTACAGGACGTGAACATTTTCTTAATATGCCGTGTTAGGAGTTGTGATTTGGTCTTCCTCAGATCAAAAGCCTAGGGGATCTCAAACTTCTCCGACACGCTTTCATAGCACAATAAATAATAGTGACTAACCAGTGCAAAATTGCAAACTCGGGAGTGTAGATATCTAGATTCTGCTTAAGCTGCTCTTATTGAGATGTTTCTAAGACCTCTGTGGACTTGTGTGTATGCTTAAGCGTAGGCCTTTCAAGTACCAGCATGGCCCTGCATTTTCAGGGCAGCTCTGCCGAGTCCGCAGACGAAAAGGGCCAAGTGTCTGCTGAGAATGCACCCGTTCTTGTCACATGTAGTCAATTACTCTTCGGAATTGGCTACTGAAAATCGTAAAAAGCTGTTTGTCCGTTTTTCTTGAAATATGTGCGAAAGAAAGGGGGAGGAATAAAGACCCAGATAACAAAAACGGTACGGGGAGGGTTTTTAAAGCTAACGCTAGTATTTTTAATATGTAGATTACCGGTTACCAGACAGCGGGCCCTCCAGCAGCCTCGGGGCCGGCCTCCAGGATGCCTCCGGGAACTCGGTTCCTCTTGAGGACGTGTGCATCAAGGGGAAAATAATAGACTTCGTAGCCCAGGTATGCGCTTGGTGGTCTTATGATTCTCTGACGAAATGATGTAAGTTGTGAGAATGGGATTACACTTGCACAGACTCAGCAAAACATGCACACTTCTAAACTTTGTGTATTCCTCGAGCACCTGCTCCACACTGGGGACTGTTCTAGGCTCAGTGTATGGCGACAAGCAGTGTGGAAACTCTGCCCTCACAGCACCCACTATGCATTGGGCAATAAACGTGATCAATAAATGAAATCCATGCTGTGTTAGATGGTGGTAGGTACAAGAGACAAAATTCAAGCCGGAAGGGAGAGGAGCTTTGCAGGACAGAGGGGTTTCAACTTGTAAGTCGGCCAAGGAAGGCTACACTGGGAAGGTGACACCTGTGCACAGGTGTGCAGGAAGTGAGGGACAAAACCATGCAGACATCCGTGGGGTGCTCATTACAGGCAGCAAAAGCAGCACATGCAAAGGTCCTGAGGTAGGAGCAAGCTTGATGTGGTCAAGGGACACAAGGGAGGCCACTGTGGCTGGAGTTGCAGGGGAGGGCAGGGCAGCTCATGTCAGGACAAGGACCTTCTGTCCTTAATGCCGAGTAAAGTGGGAACCTTTCGAGATTTATGACACCTGTGCGATGAGCAGACCTGGTTCTAACAGAACCGCACTGGCCGCTACGCTGAGAGTAGTCTGAAGAGGACCAGTCACAGTCTCTGGAAAACAGACCAGATGAGACTTGTTTTCCAGAAGCTTGTTGGGACACACCCTCTGAAGAAACACCTGTAAGAGCGACGCGGGGTCGGGAGGGAATACTTGACCAAAGGAGACATGGAACTGTGACACAGTCACACCAGAGTCCTCAGCGGTGTCAGAGGGAGCTTGGAAGCCAAGGTGGCCCTTCAGAGATGGTCTGAATTGAGGCCCAGGGGCTAGGCCTTTTACCCCACAGGGACCAGTCATTGGATGTGACTGCCCCTCAGGGGGCATAACCTTGGGCAAAGCAGTTGGTCTTTGTCCACATTAGATCACCAAGAGACTCAGCGTGATGAGGGAAGCAAAGGCCAGCATTCAGAGGTTGGGGGTGAGGCCGAGACAGCAAAGGAGCCCCAGAGGGGACCGCCAGTGAGCTCCACGGGCCAGGCTTTCTGGGAAGAGGGACCCTAGGGGTTGCTGATTGGTCAGGTAAAGTGAGGACTGAGACTCGAACATCGGGGTCACAGTGACATGGTCATTAGTGACCTCGGCAGTCACCTTTCTCATGGAGTGGTGGCATGGGAAGCCTAATCAGATCGAGTTCAAGGGACGTGGGGGTGGTGAGAATTTGGAGACAAAAAAGAGAAAATGGGACAGTAGCTGAAGAGAAGTGGGGTGAGAGTGTTTTTTCTTTTAAGGTGTAAGAAATCATAGCATGTGTGTGAGCCAGTGCAAGTGAGGAGAACTGAGTATCTAAGAAAAGGAGGTGTGGCTATAGGTGCCTCTCTTCGCAGGCAGGAGAGGTGAGCACTGATGCTCAGAGTGGCCTCGGCCAGAAGCCTGCGGCTCGTCCATGTGTCCTCCATGATACATTGGATTAGACAACTTGGATCATTTGCTATTACAAACCTTGTGAGGCTTTTTCTGTGGGGAAGTTTGCCCAAAACTTTGCTCATGATTTAGCAGTGACTTTCCATTAATTTGTGATTAGACAGTTGGCCCGTGGGTTGACTTTGAGTCTCCAGGCACCCTGTATGTTCACGGCTCACACATCTGAGTCTTCTTGAAGTGAGTTCAGTGTTTTTAGGTTAGTTGTATAATGATTTTGCCTGAAAAAGGAAAATTAGGATGTCAAAAATTTGTACACTATATTGGTTTCTATTGTAAGTCCTAGTAAAAATACTTTAAACGTGATTGTCTAAAATTATTTACTTTGTGAGTACCCAGTAGTGCAAAGAAAATGTTACTCCATATATGGTATCATCGAGTTAATGGAATATTTTTCTTCTTCAGGTCATTGTTTTTCAGACATACACAAATCAGAGTCATGTGCCCATTGAGGCAAAATACGTTTTTCCTTTGGATGATAAGGCAGCCGTGTGTGGTTTCGAAGCGTTCATCAACGGGAAGCACATAGTGGGGGAGGTAAGCGGAGGAGGTGCGCTGTGACCTCTCTGGTTCCAGAATCACTTTCCCATTTACCCAAATGTTTGTTATCTGAGTCCCCACAGCTGTGAGGCTGAGGGGCAGCCTTAGCTTAAAGGTATTCTTTGGAGGACCAGACACTGGCGCAGTTAGCCTTCACATGCACATCCAGCCCAGATGACCTGCTTTCTGCTCCTGTACATGCAGTCTGCAGCGGTCAGCACCTTTTAGTTGGCCTTTTCTCATTCAAATTCTTATTAGACAAGAGCGATCATTGATGATCATTTCATATATTTCAGTTCATCTTCAACAGTCTCTTAGTTTTCTGTTTTTGCCTAGGTTTTAATAAACATTGATGACGTTTTCCTTAGTAGAGTCTAAAATCACTGTTCATATTATGACTGGTATAAAAATCATCTTTTCCAGATTAAAGAGAAGGAAGCCGCCCACCAGGAATATCGAGAAGCCATCAGTCAAGGCCATGGCGCTTACCTGATGGACCAGGATGCACCTGTAAGGCTGGCTATCCACCCATCAGTCTAGCATCCTTACCAGAAAGGGGAAAGGAGTTGGAATGTGAAGTTCATGGTGGGAACTAGGATGATCCACATCATGTCAGGCCCTAGGATTTCACTTGCTGCTAGCAGGGGAGGCCAGACTGCTCAGACTCGGTGACCCCTCTCACAATATGACCAGACACACAAGAGCCACTTCTATTAGGGGAACCAAGTTTCCCAGAAGTAACGACAAAAAGAAAACATTTGGGATACATCATTTTTATCTACTGATGAAAGAGAGTAACAATGTATTTACTTGTTTTCCTAGAACTGAGTTCAGCTAGCAATTTATTCCATCCTCACCAAATCACAACCCAGGGTCCCAAGAGATGCCCAGGTTCTTTTCTTCCTGATTATTTGCTTTCACAGGGATGGACTGGGGGGGATCTGGACAAAGGGACAACTGTCACACCCGCTAGATTTCTTTCCTTAAGTAGAAGCTGTTTTAAGTGCACCTCAGGCAGGTACTAGTTCACAAGCCCTCAGTTTCTACGCAGTGTTCTAATGTAGGTGCTTAGCTGCTTTTAAAAACGGACCATATGCTTCACATTTCACCTCTGACAATGCCACATTGCCATGGTATTGTGAAAACTGGATATTCGGAGAGGGAGTTATTAATTTAAGTTATCAATTTAAGGGATAAGTAACCTTTTGATCTCTAGTATATCCATTTGCAGAATGGGATGATCAAGGAAGCGATCACTGTTAACCAGTTAATAACCCCCGCCCCCAGCTGAAGCATGTGGATGAGAAAAGCCTGGGCTCATTTGACAGGCTGCCACTTCACAGTGTGGGGTCATTGTCATAAATGAATTGGTCTGCATGTTTCCTCCTTGATGCTAATAAATTTCCCTAGGAATATGACCCACAAGAAGAGTCTTCACAAAGGATGTTACCTGTGGGTAGTCCGGTCAGAACCACTGCTGGCCCAAGCTGCCGAGTCCCTGAGAATGTATTTTGCCACCTGGTGACTGTAATGTTCTTATACTAAAATATGTTAACAATATAATATATTATGTAAGTAATATGTATTATTATATAGTGATTCTCGAACAACACAGATTTGAACTGCACAGCTGCACTTTTTGCGACAATTTGAAAAAACTCACTAACCGCATAGCCTAGAAATATAGAAACAAATTAAGAAACAGTTAGGTGTGTCCTGATGCATAGACCAGACGTCGCTGAGGAAGAGAAGCAAGCACCAGGACTGAGGGCAAGAAGGGGTGGGCTGACTGCCGTTTTGTGGGAACGTGTCCGGTGATGCACAGGGTGACCCTCATCTGTAGCGCTGCTCACCCTGATCCTTGAAGGGGGAAGCCATACCCCAGCTGCCAGTACTGGGTGTGCAAGAGGGCCTGGCCCTCAAGGACTCTCTCCGGATTGGTTCCATCGGTGCTTTGTCCCTGAAGTCAGGAGCTACCTTGCCTGTCAGGGGCTGCCTTTTAAAGTCTTTTAGATATTGGACACCATCCCTGGCCACCCTGCACCCCATAAGTTCAACACCAAAGGCATCAAAGTGATCTGCCTGCCCCCAAACACAGCATCTCTAACTCGGCCTCTAGGTCAGGAGTCATTAGGACCTTTACAGTTCGTCACACATGGCCTCTGTGGTTAGGACTGTTGACGCCATGGGAGAGACCCCCAACAGAGAGAACATCGTGGAGTCTGGAAGGATCACACCACTGAGGACGCATCATCATTTCAGAAAAAGCCTTGAAAGCCACCAAGCCCCAAACAACAAACTCCTGCTGGGGAAAACTGTCTGGATGCTGTGCGTGACCTCACAGGGTTATGATAGCCGATCAAGGAAGTCATGGACGAGGTTGCAGATGTGGCAGAAAGGTGTGGGTGGGGGGCGGTGAAGGGTTTCAAGACATGGATCTTGGAGAAATTGAAGAGCTAACAACTCCACAGCAGAGGAGTTAACAGAGGCCGACTTGGTGGAGGTGAGTGCTTCTGGGCCAGCGCCAAACGATGAAGACGAGGAAGCAGTGTCAGCGAACAGACCGATGGTAGACATCTGGCCGAGGGTTCCGGTTATTCAGGACTGCTCCTGACTGCTTTTGCAACATGGGCCTCTGTGACCGGGCACGGAAACTACAGCACACGGTGGAACCGTGTAGAAATGTTTTTAGAGAAACGAAGGCAAAAAAGTCAGAAGTTACAATGTATTTCTGTAAAGTGACACCGAGGGAGCCTCTCTCTTATGCATCCCCACCACCTCCACTCTGCCCCCCAAGACGGCAGGACCAGCCCCCCTCCTCAGCCTGCTCGGTATGAACACAGCGAGGATGAGGATGAGGCCAGGATGACGAGGCCTTTTTGAGGCCCTTATTACTCAGTGAACAGCAAGTGACCATCGTGCGGGACAGTTAACACGTGCTGTGTGTATGAGTGTGTCTGCGTGGAAGTCTAATTGCATGGCAAGGACTGCGGGACATTTCTGTGCCATCACCGTCACCTAAGCAGTCATGTGGAACACCACGTGCAGACTTGGTTGGAATGGGCAGCCTGTCTCCACCCAGGCAGAAGCGGAGTGCCTTCTCAGGAAATTGCAGATCTTTCAAAGAATTGCATGACTATGCTATGCTTCTCTCCAGGAGCCTGTCACCACGGGTTAGAAGTTTTTTTTAAAAATGTAACAATGTTTCCAGCACTGTATTATGAACTTTAATACTGTATACCACTAAAGTTTTATAATGATTCATTGGTTAGTATACAGGCTAGGCTGCCATAAAGCAATCATATTGCTCCTGCTCCATTATCAATGCCTGATAATCATCCCTGTAAATATGAATTCCTTTTTCACTATATCCTTTCATTTTTGATGTCTAGTGTTACTGATACATATAACATCTGCAGTGTTTTGTGTTATATAAGACGACAGTAACACAGGTGCTCACAGATAGATGATTCAACTTGTAAACATGATATAAACTTACTGTAAATATATTTTCTCTTCCTCATGATTTTCTTAATAACGTTTTCTTTTTGGTAGCTTACCTTGTTATAAGAATACAGTATTTAATATATATAACTTACAAAATATGTTTTGATCAGCTGTTTATGTTATTGATAAGGCTTCTGGTCAACAGTCAACTGTTAAGTTTTGGGGGAGTCAGAAGTTATATGTGGATTTTCAACTACATGGGGGGGTGCCCCTAACCCCAGACTTATTCAAGGGTCAAATGTGTATGTATCATTATATTTTAAATACATTATATAAGTGTATATATGTATGATTTAAGTCTTCTGATAGTCGACATTATAAATACATAGAATTATGTATCTGAGTTATACACATATACATATATGGCATTGTATGTATCATATATGATAATATAGTAATATGCATTTTATGTTACGTGTATTATGTTTCCAAGTATCAGAAGAATGTTATTTTGTAGAGTGGCTACCTTGTAACAGAAGGGACTTCATCTGTTTATACCCTACGCAGAGCCGGCACTGCAGCCCCGTGTGAGTGAGTGGTGGTCTCGCACGGGGACCTCCGGTTTCCATACACTTCTTTTGAGGGCAAGCACTAGTAACTGTTAATCGTCTCTTCCTTGTTTATTCCCTTCCTGCAAATGGATATCCTTGATGTCAAAAGTAATCTGTCCCTCACGTCTGTACTAACCGTGAACATTACGCACTCCTAATCTAAACATGCTGTGTGTTCATGGCAGCACAGCCACGTGGAGGGCATGGTCAGGAGGCTCAGACGGTCCCTGCATGAGTGTCAGAAAACACACATCTAGCCTCTCTCTTTTTCTGTCTGAGCTAATCACATGCAGTGATTATCAGTACCCATTAAAGAAAATGAAATACTTTTTCTAAAAAATAAAGCGATGCATTTACTGCTGGGTAAAAGAATTAGGTGAGGCCTGGGTTTGGTGACGGCTGCTCTGGCTCTGCAGCCACAGTTAGAGCTGGTGCTGGCAGTGGCGGAGGCCAGAGAGGCCAAGTTCTTCCAGTAGGGGCAGCCTGGATGGGGTCCCTGTGCAGATTCCTGCATGTGAGACCCCTGGTGGGGAGAGGTCACTGGGTGACGCACCCTAGCTGGGCAGTCTTGCTACCAACAGGCCTCCTCTCCCTGTGCCCCCTGAAGACGTCACATTGTCCCGCCACTGGGAACAGCTGCAAGAGTCTCCTTTAGCACCACCAGTGTCTGTCTCGTAGGCTCTCATTTTCTGAGGAAGAATTTGGCAGACTGTAATTCAGCTGGTGCACGTGATAGGAGGGATCAGCCAGCGTGGAATGGATGTGTGTGTGAGTCGCTAGCTAAGTAACATGTCTCTGTTTCAGGATGTGTTTACCGTAAGTGTTGGAAACTTACCCCCCAAGGCTAAGGTCCTCATCAAGATCACCTACATCACGGAACTCAGCATCCAGGGTACCGTGGCTGTCTTCTTCATGCCTGCCACTGTCGCACCTTGGCAACAGGACAAAGCTCTGAATGAAAACATCCAGGTTCGTGTGCTTAAGCTTTTTTGTGTGCGATTTATGCATAGGGGAGAAAAAAAAAAACAAAAGCATCTGATCTTTTTGGCATAAAGTCAGTGAATTTATGGACAAGTATGCATTTAGATATATGATGTTTATAAAATAAAAAGATTAAAGACAGACATGCTCAAAGAGCATAATATTTTTATTCTTTCCAGTCACTTAAAAAGTTTGTGTCTATGTTACATGTTCATGAAACACAGAAAACATAAATACAAATAAGCCAAAGAGGATAATTAAAATTATCCTTAATTCCATCGCTGAGGTGGTAGCCCAAAGCTGCTGTTTCCGCTGTGCCGTGGGTCTATCCGCGCTTCCTGCTTTGCGTGCATTTATGTAAATTGTGTGTATGTGTCTGTGTGTTTGTGTACACATATGCGTATGGTTATGTGTGTGCACACATACATGTATGTAGTTGAAAAGGTTATAAATTACCTTGATGTCAGTTACAGTTCAGAAGTTACTGTCACTTCATGAACAATTGCTCTATGTCTCACTACAAAGTAAGACTTGCTCTTGTTGCTGCTCTAGGTTGTGGCCTTGGTGACATTACATTCAGCAGAGTCTCGTTGTGAAACTAAATAGATACAAACTTAATAGTTTTTCCTTTTAACAGGATACAGTAAAGAAGATTTCTATAAAGGAAATAGGATCAAAGCAAAGGTTAGTACCTAACGTATAAAACCTGACAATCATTCAATGGGCGTTAGTTTTATGGCTTAAATTTTCATTAGAAATGATGTGAAACAATTAAGGTAGTTTAATGTTTAAGATATTACACTGACAACTTTCTCTTCATTTTCGGTAGCTTCTCGTTGACTATGTCTATTGAGATGCCGTACGTGATTGAATTTATTTCTAGTGATACACATGAACTGAAAAAAAAGGTTAGTAAAGTTTCACTTTATTTCTTAAGAGCTCTTATTTTAACATTAATTTTGTGTTATTAGGGCAAGACATGCAAATGGTCTAAAAAGTGAAATGATGCTAGCAACAGCTTCTCAAAGCAGCTCCAGTCCTGAGATAGTGAACCACTGGAACTATTTTAGCTCTTTTTTGGTGGTCCTCAAAGTTTTAAGTAATAATTTTTACTGCTTGTTCCTCATTTACCTGTTTTAGAAATTTTGTTTTGACTTCCTGTTATGGCAGATGAAATTTAACTCCCTTACCCCCTCCACTTCCTTCACTCCCCACTTTTTCTCGCCCCTTCATTCCAAAAGTTATATCACTGTTTTTGGTTACAGCAGTAATCAATGTTTATATTATTATGACTATGTAAATGATGTTTACCAGCGAGTCGAGAAATGTGCTATGATTACATTTTCTTTTATTCTTTTTTTTAACGTCTTCATATAGCATTTCCGCGGGGTGGGAGAGATACCTTTTTCATTTGCTTAGTCCCCTAGGACAGTTCTCTCGTGCTCTGACACATAGAGTAACGCCCCTCGCCATCCGGTTCTCACTCTGCTGAGTGCTTCAGGGAATCTGTTAATTCGTGTCTCCTACTAGCTGGCTGCTGGGGCACAGCTGCCACCCTGAGACCTCCCCCAGCTCTTCCCCTGTGCAGAGCTCTCATCTGCATCCTCTGTCTTGCTTTGTTCTCTCCCTTTGTCAGAGCACAGTCTCATTACCTTCCTCAGTGGGAGGGATGGGCAGCCCTGCTAGAAAACATCCTCCTTTCACCTGCTGCCCTTGACATTCGCAGAGGTGCCTCCCCTCTCAGAATGCTGAAAACTTTGTCTTCTGGCTTCTGGTGTTTCTTTTGAGAAGTTAAATTACATTTTTATCCCCCATTCTTTATGAGTAGTCTGTTATGGCTTTTTTTTTTTTTTTTTTTTAATTCTGCAAGAATTTCAGATCTCATTATCCTTGGTATTTTGAAATTTCACAGTAATGTGACATTCATTCTTTGTAAGTATCTTGTGGACTTGCGTTCTGGGAAATTTCATTAGACTTTTAAAGACAAAGTTGTTTCTCTCTTTCACCATCCTGCAGCGCCTCTCGGTCAGGTATTCCCTGGATCGAGCCCTTTATTTTCTTACATTGTCTTTCCTGTTACTCATTTAATTGTCTTTTTGTTTTTCTTTCTGGGTGATTTTCTCTATTTTAAATTCCAACCATTCAACTGGAATTTTTATTTTCTCATATGTTTTGGTTTGTAAGCTCTTTTCTGTTCTGTATTCCTCTTTTGTAGCATCTCTGTGTGTTTTGTGGATGCAGTATCGTCTCTCTCCGAACACATTCACAATATACTTTTTCTGTTGTTCCCTGTGTTATATCTCCTTTCTTTGAGTTTCTTTTTTCCGTCTGGCTTTCTGTCTCTCTGGTCTCCATATGTGACATTAGAGCCTTCTCCTCCAACATCCGGATGCCCTGTCTGTGTTTGTCTTCACTTGAAACATGAGCAGGCCAGAGAGATGCTCTGAGGTGAGCCGGGTGAGTGGTCCAGAGACCACCGGCAGCTGTGTTTGGTGATGGGTCTCACGGGACTGTTTCAGCCCCTTCTGTGATTGTTCAGAACACCTCTAGGGTAGTCACAAAGTATGACAGGAGGGTGCCTAAGGGTCCCATGTTTGGGGATGCCCGCTATCACTTCAGTCTGTTTGCAGCCCTGTACTCCTATGCTTCATCGTGCCTCCGGTTCCCGATCCTAGATTCCATTTGATTGAATTTCTATAAGTAATAAATCTCAGTTTCCTTCAGTGAGAGGACAGGGAGCTGGCTGCTGGTGCCAGCTACTTGGTTACCTAGCGTGGGGAGTGCG